CAGTTACTAAAGTTCAGATTATCTGGAGAACATTCTGCCTTAAGCTGCTCAGGTCATACAGCACTGCTGATGAGCAGAAAGCAGATTACACACACACTTGGTAATACACTTTATATTCAATTTACAATCAGGCGCATAGTTACCACGAAATGCTTAAACTTTCATAAATTATAAATTGCTCTAATTACCATTCTTTTATACATTTTAAAGTAATAAAGCAACATAACACATATCAGTATAGCCTATAATACTGACATTTGACTAGCAGGCCACAGTTATTATCCGTAACTACCACAAATAACTACTGGATGTGCCGTTCCTCACAGGACACCCTCTAATCCTCTTACCCTAAGAACTACATCCTCAGACAGATGCATAAGCACGAAGGTATTATCACACATAGGGGAAATACTGCTTGCATTTTTCAAACCACTCTTAAAAATCAGACAACAGTGAAGTATTATATTTTGTGAAATTATGAAAAACTGTATCTGTTTGAAAGAGAAAGGATTAACCTACAGTTGGAAGGAAGATACTAGCTAAAATAAAAGTATACTGAAGAAAAGCAGTATTAGCTTCAGCGGGACATGGGGATTATTAAAAAGCAGGAAGGGTTGGGATATGTCATTTTTCATCAAGAGAAGACAAAGGTGTAAGCATTCAGGGCACCTAAACCGAGAGAAGAGCCCTTTAGGGGGCCTTTCTGAAACTACCCAACGGTTTAGTGAATGTAAAATCATGAGCTCTATCCAAGTATATGGCCTTCAATCTCCAACGTAAAGAAAGTGAGGAATGAGATTAAATGTTGTGAGACTGAACATTTTTGAATGTGAGAAAGCTTTTCAATGTAAACAACAACAACAACAACAACAACAACAACAACATTTTGGTGATACCTGATGGAGAAAATCTGTCATGCACATGAAAAGATTTAAAGCCCCTCTTACAATAAATCTATGCCTCCCTCCTCTTGGTCCAGCTGGTGCTGACTCTCCAGTTTTTTCTCCGCATTTCTCCATACAAGGCCACAACCTTCATCGCTACAATAGTGACTGCCACTCCTAGTACTCAGGCAATTTAAAAACTCTTACAGGCTTCCACTGGGGCTCACTGTCCTCCAAACAGGCAGGGGGCAGCAAAAACCTAGCCTTAGGGTTGGAATGAATGTAAGTGAGCAAAGACAGGGCTTTGGCAGATTCCTTATTTTGATATAAATTTGTCCTCTTTGTAGACAGACCCAACGACTGAATAATGTCCAGACTCTTCCGTATC